CTACTTGGTCTACATTTTCTTTTCTTTTCTTTCTTTCTTTTTTTCTTTTGGCCACACTGCTCGGCCTACGGGATCCTAGTTCCCCGACCAGGAATCGAATCTGGGCCCCAGTAGTGAAAGTGCTGAGTCCCAACCACTGGACCACCAGGGAATTCCCAATATATTTTCGTATTTTTATATCATGAAATTTCTCACAAAATGTTTTGTCAAAATACCGTATACACTGTGTCTAGTAATTCTGTCCAAAAAGAGAATGGGGTTAGTCTGGCATGATTTTTTTTATAAATCCATGTTGAATTAATGGTTACTTTTTTCTAATTCTTTAAAAACACATCTTGGGACTTCCCTGGTGGCACAGTGGTTAAGAATCTGCCTGCCAATGCAGGGGACATGGGTTTGAGCCCTGGTCCAGGAAGATCCGAAATGCTGTGGAGCAACTAAGCCCGTGTGCCACAACTGTTGAGCCTGTGCTCTAGAGCCCGCAAGCCACAACTACAGAGCCCATGTGCCACAACTTCTGAAGCCCGCACGCCTAGAGCCCAAGCTCTGCAACAAGAGAAGCCACTGCAATGAGAAACCTGTGCACTGCATCGAAGAGTAGCCCCCACTTGCCACAACTAGAGAAAGCCCGTGTGCAGCAAGTAAGACCCAACAACAAAGGCCCAATGTAGCCAATGATAAATAAATTGATAAAAACACATCTTTTGGATAGTTCATTCTAGAATCTTGTCTGAGATAAATACTAAGATCTTTGCAGATTCTACTATCCTTTCTCCTTATAAAAAATTTTTAGTTATCAACAGCTTTCTACAATTTCTACAACTTCTAGCAATTTCTACAATTTCTAGCAATTTTTCCAGTTTTACATGAACTCTCAGATTTCATTCAGTGGTTTATTGGGTTAACCTGCAAGTTTTACCAAAGCCCTGGAGTGTAATTTGTTCAGGCCAGGAGTACTGTATTCATTTAGAGCAGTCAGATGCTCTCTTACAATCTTTATCTTCAGTTCCCTCTTACAATGTTTTACACTTTTTATTCTAAATATTATTCTTTTCAGTAGGAGAGACAGAAACATGTTATCCATTAATCACTATACCATGAGTTTCAGCAATGGGATATATCCTTCCTTGCTTTTGTCCCAAACGTCATTTTTTTGGATAACAGCTTTATTAAGATATAATTTACGTACCGTACAATTCATCCTTTTAAAGTGTACAATTCAGTGGTTTCCAGTATATTCGTAGAATTGTACAACCAGCACCATTATCTAATTTTAGAATATTTTTATCATCCTAAAAAGAAAGCCTGTGCCCATTAGCAGTCACTCCCCATTCCCTCCCAAACTACCTTTCTAGCTCTAGGCAACACTAATCTACTTTCTGTCACTGTAAACTGCCTGTTTGGGACATTTTTAAAAATTTATTTATTTATTTATTTATTTGGCTGCGTTGGATCTTTGTTGCGGTACGTGGGATCTTCCTTGCAGCATGTGGGATCTTTCGTTGTGGCGCTCATTGCAACATGTGAGCTGTTTGTTGCGGCACGCTGGCTTCTCTCGAGTTGTGGTGTGCGGGTTTTCTCTTCTCTAGTTGTGGCGCAGGCTCCAGAGCACGTGGGCTCTGTAGTTGAGGCGCACAAGCTCAGTAGTTGTGGCGCATGGACTTAGTTGCCCCGCAGCATGTGGGATCTTAGTTCCCTGACCAGTGGCTGCAATATGTTATATTTCCACAGCAGTGTATGAGGTTTCCTATTTCTCAACATTCACTTGCTATTGTCTTTTTATTATAGCCATCCTAGTAGGTGTGAAATGTCATCTCGTGATTTTAATTTGTATTTCCCTGGTGGCTTATGATGTTGATCATCTTTTCATGTGTATTAATTATTCGTATTATTTTGGGGAGAAATCTCTAATTTAAAACCTTTGCCCGAGAATTCCCTTGCTGTCCAGTGGTTAGGGTTTGATGCTTTCACTGCCAGGGCCCGGGTTCGATCCCTGGTTGGGGAGCTAAGATCCCACAAGCCGTGAGGTGCAGCCAAAAAAACAAAAAACGAAAAAACAAACCTTTGCCCATTTTTAAATTGGGTTGTGTTATTGAGTTGTAGGAATTCTTTATATATTCTACATAAAAGCCCCTTATTAGATATATGGTTTACAAATACTTTCTCCTATTCTGCGGGTTGTCTTTTTTACTTTCTTGATGGTATCCTTTGAAGCAGTAAAGTTTCTAATTTTGAAGAAGACCAATTTATCTATTTTTTTCTTTTGTTGTTTGTGCTTTTGTTGTCATATCTAAGAAGCAATTGCCTAATAATTCTTTTGATGTCCCATTAATTTTTTAAATTACCTTTCCCTGTTTTCCCATTGACCAGTTTCCTGTTAAGAGTACTGTATGTGTTAAGAGTGAGAACTATGATCAGACTGACTGAGTTTGAATGTTGGTGTTACCACTTGATAATTCTGTAACCAGAGGGAAAATGACACAACTTCTTTAAGCCTCAGTTTCTTCATCTGTTAAATAAGAATAATACTTCTTACCTCAAAGGTTGTGTTGAGGATTAAAATGCTTACAGAGAAAGCACTTGATAATTGGTAGCTATTATTACTAGAAATTTTCTTTAAGTACTATTTTTACTTAAATTAAAATACTTTACTACGTAGGTGTTTTTCTTGACTTTGTATCCACTGCAGTAACTTGCTCATGGTAGAAGTTTAATGAATATCTGTTAACTGAAATTGATATGTAATATATAGTAGTAGCCCATTACATTGAGAACTGAGATGTGTTTGAGCTTGCTAAGGAGCTAAGTAAAAAGAAAAGACAAAACTGAAAATAAATTTCACCCAGTTCATCATTTGGGCTTGGGTTAGCCCTGGTAGAAAAGGAAATGGGAGAATTATGATTCCAAAGACACTTCAAAGGGGAACAGTGCTGAATATACAGAAGGGAGGGGCTTAATTTAGAGAGAAAAATAGAAACGTAAACCCCCAAATGTTGGTTGGTGGCATAAGACATTTTAGAATAGATGCCAAAAGAGAAAAGTTCTCTTGTCAAGAGCAGCAGACTGATTTGCTATGGTTGTTCTCTGAACAATCTGAGATTTGTTCTTGACTGAGACAAGAGTCCTTTGTCCAAAAGCATTCTCTTATCACTTGGTGAGACTGTCGTTAGTCCCCTCACCCTTATTAGATAGACACATGATTAGAGGCCTCAAAAGACTCCCTAAGATTTTATGGTAGGGATTTCTGATCCAGAAATATACTGGTATTTTAATTTGTTTATCTAATAATGTAAGCAAAGTGATTAGAGCCTACCTCTACTTAACAATGTCCTGTATTCCACTGCACATGATATTCTTAATTTCATATGAATAAATGAATAATATATTTAAATTACTCAAGCCATGCAAATGATCTAATTTATGTTATCAATAAATATTTGTAAAATGTATGAGTGTATGGTTAGATGAAAGATAAATGGTTATGTAAATGAAACCTTCTTCCTTCTGCTTTCTCCTTCCCCCAGTTTTTGTCCAAATTTTATCAGTTCTTCCAAATAATGTTCAAATGCCAATCAGTGTATATTATTTTTGTGTACAGATTATTTGAGATTTGGTATTCAAGCTGTTTTTCCTACTATATTATAAGCTCCTGGAAGTCTGGGTCTGATCTTTTTTGTCTTTATATTTTCCATAACACAGCATTTTACACAAAGTTGATATATAAACATAAGCATATTCAATGAATTGTATAATTTAGTAATATATTTACATTTATAAATGTAATATTACTACAAATATAATATTACAAATATATAATATTACATTTATTATATTTATGGTGGGAATTTTGGTACAGAATATTTAAGAAAACATTCGTATTATGAGACATTAATAACGCTTTCTCTTCACACCTTTTCCAGATATTACTAAAAACTTACTGATTGAGTAAATATATAGTCTGTCTTCCCCAACACAGGCTTCTGTCCCTAAACAGGACAGGTTTCAAACAGACCTCCCTTCTTCCCTATTTTTCTCTCCCTTTTTTCTATTCTATTTCTCTCTTGCAGCTCTATTTACCTTTTCATGGTAACTCATTCTCTGTACTTTTTATTAGTCCTACATCTTGCCCCTTTTTACAATTCCTAATGCTTTTTAGAACTTTGTTTCCTTGTCACCTGCTCTTTCTATTTTTGTTCTTTCTGCTTGGCTTTCTCCTCCACTTGTCGCTACTTTCTCTCCTTGCCCTCAAGATTCGGGGCAGGATTGGGTAGGGAGGAGCCCAGCTGGGTTAAGGGTGGAGCTACCTGTTTACTGCTTGGGATTCAGAACCTGACCAGGAAGGATCAGGCTGCTTGAATTTAGCTGAGGCTGAAGTCCGTATGGCCTGCCTACTGGAGGCTAGCATTTTGGAGGATAATTGGAACTTGGTGAGACTAGAAGCAGCCCCTCTCTTCGTTTTTCGATCCCCCTTCCTTCCTCCCTGTTCTGTATTTTTCACTCACAGCATCTCTTTCCATACTAACTTTTCTTCTTCCTTTTCCCCTGTTGCTTACTATTCTGTTTTTTCTGTCTGTCTAGCTCTCTGTCAGTTAACTTTATTTAGTATTTGTTTGCCTTTACTGTTACCCATTCTTTCCACATATCTGTCTGTTCTCTCTTAAAATTTAACTTTTTCTACCTCTTTTCCATTTTATTCTTCCCTTTATTAATTTTCTCATCCAACTGTCTTTTTTTCCTTCAGTCATTTTCTATCCACCTGTCAGTTCTTTTTATCTTACTGTTTCCCAGCAATGTAGCAATAAGGGAGGAAAAAAGGAGCCACCCTGGCTTTCCAGGGGCCTATTCACCCTTTTTACTCATTCTCAGACTTGTAGTGTGTTTTGATTAGGCACTGAAGAGTTTGTGCTTTGCACAGATAGTTAACAAACAGTGAAATTAGAGAAAGGTTGAATATTAAATTTAAAAGGCTTAATTTTATTCTTACTTTCTCTTTTATTTAGTTATTTCCTGCAATACAGTGGATACAGTTTGTTATGGCTACTCTGAGGTAAGTTTATTTAACCTCATGTAATGTGACTGTTTGAACTAGTACAACTAGCAAAACTGGAGACAAGCAAAACTGGAGAATTCTGAAGTGTCTCTATATATATTTTTTCCCTGGGGATTTGCTTTTACTCATTAGTTAGAAATGCTGTTCTTTACCATGTTGACATTATCTGATTAATAAAATGTAATAACATCAACAACAATAATAACAAAAAAAACAGATTGAAGGGTAACATCTGAAAATCAAAGGACAATTTGGTCAACAGGATTGATTTGCAAAATCAGTTGTGAAGTGCTCACTTTAGTAGCACATATACTAAAAATTGTAATGATACAGAGAAGATTAGCATAGCCTCTGCTTAAGGATGACACACAAATTCGTGAAGCATTCCATATTTTTAAAACATTTGTGCAGTTTATTTTACATCAATTATATGTCAATAAAGCTGTAAAAAAAAGTAGCAAAAACAAAGGAGCCCCAATTGTCCTGTTTAATGATAGTCTTTTATCTCTGCCAGTGTTATAGGTTCAAGTTCACTTATTGCCTATGCTGTATTCCAGAACATACAGAAATCTCCAGAGGTGAGCAGTCTCTTTCTGTGTTGGATTTGAATTTTTTGTGACTTAGCCTTTGAAATAAAAAAGAAAGGTGTCCCCTATAAATGATGGAATAATGCTATGAATTGCTTGTAAATTTGTCATTTTGATATAATACATTGAGATATTTTAGACATTGCCCCAAAGGTCTCCCTTTTCTTTTAGGTAGTTATTTTAATTATAATTTTGAATACTGAGGAATTGACCAAATGTGGATTAGTGGATAAATGTAGATTTTTGGGGGGTATGCATTAATTATTAAAGTCAAAGAAACAGAGTATTGTTTGAAGCCTATATTCATTCTAAGCATGGTAGGGTCCTGCCTAGAGGTGAGTTTTCTGATGTTCATATCTTGGTAAAATTGCTGGTGGGGCTGGAAATAGTTCAAACACTGCTATACAAAAGGTATTTATTTTGCTGTTCTGGCTTTCTAGGCAATTACAATTTAATGGTGAAAATAGAACAAAAATACATCCTATGTAAAACTATTCATACCAAAAAAGTCAAGTCAGAAAGCTTCCTTGGGCCTCCCTCGTGGCGCAGTGGTTGAGAGTCCGCCTGCCGATGCAGGGGACGCGGGTTCGTAGCCCTGGTCCGGGAGGATCCCACATGCCGCGGAGTGGCTGGGCCCGTGAGCCATGGCCGCTGAGCCTGCGCGTCCGGAGCCTGTGCTCCGCAACGGGAGAGGCCACAACAGTGAGAGGCCTGTGTACAACAACAACAAAAAAAAACGCTTCCTTTTATTGAGGTATAATTGACAAATAAAAATAGTATATACTTAAGGTATTAAAAAAAAAATCAATCAGGGAGTTCTCTGGTGACCTAGTGGTTAGGATTCTGGGCTTTCACTGCTGGGCCCAGGTTCAATCCCTGGTCCCACAAGCTGCATGGTGTGCTCCCCACCAAAAAAAAAGATTTTAAGAAAAATGTAACAAAACTGTTTTTCTAATCAGGCCAAGTGGCACAAAATTAAGCAAAATGTGGTTTAGGACATGTATGAGAGAGCTTTTGTAAAGTGGAAAATGACACATTTAGCTTAGCTATGGCTAAGGTCTCATAGCTAGTAAGTGTTAGAGCTAGAAGTTGAGGCAGACTTGTCTTGTTCCAAAGCTGCTTCTCACATACACTTTTTTTTTTTAATTTATTTTTATTTATTTATCCTTGGCTGCATTGGGTCTTCGTTGCTATGTGCGGGCTTTCTCTAGTTATGGCGAGCAGGGGCTGCTCAGCAGTTGTGGCACAGGGGCTCAGCTGCTCCGCAGCATGTGGGATCCTCCGGGGCCAGGGCTCGAACCCGCGTCCCCCGCATTGGCAGGCAGACTCCTAACCACTGTGCCACCAGGGAAGTCCCTCACATACACTTTTAAACCACTGAAATATAATGTCTAATGAAAAGAGAATTTTGAATTTCAGAGGTAGAATGTGACTATGTAAGTAAAACTAGAAAGTAGAAGTCTTGATACTGTATTGTCAATTGCCTGCCAAAGTAATCTTAGGCCACACATCTTCCTGTGATGTGGAGTTCCCTAATGTTTCTTTCCTGAATGTTTGTTGAAATTTGAGTTCAGATGTGGTTAAGTTAATAAAGTATAAGTTACGTTGTGGAGAGAGGTAAGCAGAGATTCTCAGTACTACTGACCTTTTGGGCTAGATGGTTATTTGTTATGGGTGGCTGTGATATTTAGCAGACTTTACCCAATAGATGTAGCAGCAACCTTCCTCACCCAGTTGTGAGAACCAAAAATATCTTCAAATACTGCCAAATGTCTTCTGAGAGAGGCAGTCACTCCTGGTTGAAAACCACTGCTCTAGGGTGACCTCTGCCATAACAGTGGGTTAGAGCTTTATAAAGATGTAGGGTCTGGTTTGGCCTGGGATGTGACCTTTAATTTCTCTGGCTTCGGTTCTCATACCTTTCACATAACCAGAGCCTGAAGGACCTTAGTAATCATTAATTCAGTGGTTCCTACACATTCTGCTTTTTTGGCATAGGGAAGATTCCAATTTTTCCAGCTTAAAAATGTCAGCCATGCTCCACCGTTTTCCTTTATTTCTTCATCAAATAACATTTTTAACAGCATAAACACATGGAAGGCATAATCTGAAAAAGACAAAAATTATTAAATTAATGATTATAGTAAATTGGAGAAATCCATGGGAAATCTTTGAGGGGACTAGCTGATTAGACAGTAACTCAGAGTAACTCAGAGAGGCAACCTTAAGAGAGAAGAAAGTAACCCAGGCCAGCCAGTGTTAAAAAAAAAAAAAACACGAGGCAGATATACTTTACTGCACTTGTGTGAAGTGCACTTCATTTCCTTGTGAAGGTCACTTTTGATATTCTTTGTAACTTGATTTCACTAGAAATATCAGGAAGCAGGGTTTTGCAAGAGTATAAATATGAGTTGCTTTAGGTGTTTTACCTTACCAGGTTAGACCTGGACCCAGAACCTCCTTAGGGAAAGCCTTTCACACAATGCATTCCGTCCCTGCACCTTACTTTGCTCTTGATTTAAATGAGACAAGTACAAATATATTTAAAGTTTTTGCTTTCATATTTAGGATCATGTCTTAAGGTTTTTCTTGTTATTACCATGCACTATGCTGATTGTATTTTTATTTATTTTAATTTAACTTTTTTTTTTAATTTTTAAAATTTTATTTATTTATTTTTTTTGCGGTATGCGGGCCTCTCACTGTTGTGGCCTCTCCCGTTGCGGAGCACAGGCTCCGGACGCGCAGGCTCAGCGGCCATGGCTCACGGGCCCAGCCACTCCACGGCACGTGGGATCTTCCCGGACCAGGGCACGAACCCGCATCCCCTGCATCGGCAGGCGGACTCTCAACCACTGTGCCACCAGGGAAGCCCTAATTTTTTTATTAAAAAAAATATTTTTGGCTGCGCTGCACAGCATGTGGGATCTTAGTTCCCCAGCCAGGGATCAAACCTGTGCCCACTGCAGTGGAAGCACGGAGTCTTAACCACTAGACTGCCAGGGAAGTCCCTTTTTAAAAATTTTTTATTGTTTGTATTTTTCTTAAAGCGTGACCTGTATCATACATTTCTCTGTATTACCTTTGACACAGTATCTTGTTAAACATAGAAGGGGTGAAATCTTTTTTAATTTCAATACTAGGTGCTCAGTTAAGTTTTGTTGTTTAATTGATTGATTTTATCTCCTGTTACTAGAACTCATGATTTTCCAACCATGAGTGAAAGTATATAAACCTCTTTTTATCCTTTATTTCTGTGCCAAAGACCTTAGGTGTGTTTTAATGGCCAACAGTTCCCTATATATAAGGCTATTTATTGACTCAATGACCATAATTATGTTCTTGCTCACAAAAGCTGCTTGGCCGCCTTTCTGCTCCAGAGTTTATTTTGTATTCAGTTTTAATTTTTCACCCATTAACAGTTATAAACTTGTGATAGGTCATAGACCAGTAAAATCTAGGAATATGCCACCTGGCTGGAACCTTAACAGGCTTCCTTGTAGCAAAGGATATATGTTGTTAAAATAATTGTATCTGATATTTAGTAAATACAGTTTAAAATATTATTTCACTTGTTTTTGTTTGTGTTAGCCAAAGCAGCTTGACCATTTACCCCTATTAGCAAGGTATTAGCATCTTAACTTTCCTCTCATTTGGAAGAAAAGTATGAGAAAAATTCCCTTTTGTACAGTTGAGGAGGTTAGTTCTTATATTAGGTAGTATCTGTTGATAACTTAGTAATTTTTTTGCACGGGGGGCACATCCCAGGGACTGGGCCAGCCTGTGGGCCCAGTGGTGGGGGCACCAAAAATTTTTAACTTTACTTTTTTACTGTGAGATATACCAGCCATGGTTTAGAAGGCATAAAACTCATGTGTGCTATATAATGGATGGCTATAAACCAAACCTGGGACAAGAAATAGGAATCGCTCATATCCCCAAACATTCCTACTGTGCTCCTTCCCAATCACAACCTCACCTCTAGCAGTAACCACTATCCAGATTTTTGCTTAATCATTTCTTGGCTTTTATGTATAGTTTTACCAGTAATGTATATATCCCTAAATAATTTAGTTTTGCATTTTTGAACTTGACATAAATGGGATAATACTATTTTTTGGTATGTATTGCTTTGTGATTTGCTTTTTTCCCTCAGTATCACTTCTGAGATTTGTCCATGGCGTTGTGTACAGCTCTGGTTCATTTCTTTTTCACTGATGCTTAGCATTCTATATTATGAACATACCACAGTATATCTATCTGTGCTGCTATAAACAATCTTGTACATGTCTTCTGATGCACACATGCAAAAATTTCTCTAGTGATTTTACCTAATAACAGAATATAGGATATTCATATCCCCTAGATAGTGCCAGACTTTTTCCAAATAGTTGTGCCAGCAGTGTATGAAATGTCCTATTGCTTCATGTTCCTGTTAATATTTGATATTGTCAGACCTTACAAATTTTTGCCATGGGTGTGTAATTTTCATCCCATTGTAGATTGATTGATTTATTGACTTTTGTTCTCCTTATAGTTTTAATTTTTTAATTTCCTTGATTACTAATGGGGTCAGGCATATTTTCACATTTTTACAGCCATTTGGATTTCTTAAGTACCTGTTCAAATCTTTTGTCCATTTTTTTTCTATTGGTTTTTCTTATTGCTTTGAAGAGCTTTTGTTTGCTTTGTTTTTTAAAAGTAAATTTAAAAAAAAAAAGTAAATTTTATTTATTTATTTATTTTTGGCTACGCTGGGTCTTTGTTGCTGCCCGCGGGCTTTCTCTAGTTGCGGCGAGCGGGGGCTACTCTTCACTGTGGTGCACGTGCTTCTCATTGCAGTGGCTTCTCTTGTTGCGGAGCGTAAGCTCTAGGTGTGCGGGTTTCAGTAGTTGTGGCACGTGGGCTCAGTAGTTGTGGCTCATGGACTCTAGAGCACAGGCTCAGTAGTTGTGGCACACGGGCTTAGTTGCTCTGCGGCATGTGGGATCTTCCCAGAACAGGGCTCAAACCCATGTCCCCTGCATTGACAGGCGGATTCTTAACCACTGGACCACCAGGGAAGTCCGTGCTTTGTTTTTAATATTGTTTGGATACTGGTCCTTTGTTAGTCATATGTGTTAACAAATATCTTCTCCCACTTTGTGGCATGTCTTTTCACTTTCTTTATGGTGTCTTTTGACACAGACATTTTTCATTTGAATGTGGGCAAATTTTTCAACTATTTCTTTTAGATCTTTTTGTGTTTTGCTTAGGAAAAACTTTCCCTAACCAGTAATTAAAGACATTGTCCTATATTATCTTAAAAAAAACCTTTATAAATGTTGTCTTTCACGTTTAGGCCTTTAAACTACTTGGGACCGATTTTTGAGCGTGTGAGGTAGAAAGTAGGGGCCCAATTTAATTTTTATCCATATGGATACCCAGTTGTTCTAGTATCACATTTTGAAAAGACTGTTCTTTCTCCATTCATCTAAAAAGCCACCTCTATCATATATCAATAGTTTATAGGGGCTTCCCTGGTGGCGCAGTGGTTAAGAATCCACCTCCCAATGCAGGGGACATGGGTTTGAGCCCTGGTCTGGGAAGATCCCATATGCTACGGAGCAACTAAGCCTGTTCGCCACAACTACTGAGCCTGCGCTCTAGAGCCCGTGAGCCACAACTACTGAGCCCACGTGCCACAGCCACTGAAGCCCACCCGCCTAGAGCCCATGCTCCACAACAAGAAAAGCCACCACAATGAGAAGCACATGTACTGTGATGAAGAGTAGCCCCTACTTGCTGCAACTAGAGAAAGCCCACGTGCAGCCAAAAATAAATAAATAAATAAACTTATTTTTCAAAAAACGTTTATATATATACGCTTAGGCTTGTTTTGGGCTCTCTGTTCTGTTCCATTGGTCTATTTGTCCATCTCTGGGCTAGTCCACTGCATCTGCTTTATATTGTGTCCAGCTTTATATTGTTTTGGTGTGTGTAGGACAAGTCCTCCTTCTCCTTTTTCTTCGAGTGTCATAGTTAACTTGATATTTTGTATTTCAATATCAGATTTAGAGCCAACTTTGTCAAATTCCACAAGAAGATATGTTGATACATAATTGAGATTGCGTTTAATCTGTGTATCACTTTAAGGAGAACTGACATTTTCATAACATTGGATCTTACAGTCCATGAGCATGGTATATTTCTTCACCTTAGATCTTTGGTATCTTTCAATAAACATATTATAATTTTCTCTACAGAGGGGCCAAAACTATTTTCAGGAAAGTGGGACTGGGGAGGCCAAAAGGAGAAGGATACTAGAAAATGAGAAAGACAGACTTCAGCAATGTAGATAGAAATTGAAAGACAACATATACAATTCATGCTGATATTTTTCTCCACCTTGACTTTCATTGATATGAAAACCTGTAAAATGAATAAGGTCTTAGGATCTAGTACATAACATGGTGATAATAGTTGATAACACTACTGTACAATTGAAATTTGCTCAGAGAATAGAACGTACATGTTCTCACACACATATGCAAAAAGGTAAATATGTGAGGTGATAGATGTGTTCATTAACTTGAGGGAAATCCTTTCACAATGTATATGTACATCAAATCATCACATATACTTTATCTTGCAGTTTTATTTGGCAATTATACTTCAATAAAGAAAAAAGAAAAATGCAAATTAAACTCTATGAAGATTAAAAAAAAACCTGTTTTCATTTTCTTTGAGTTCTCAACCATATCCTAAAACACTCAGGTGATAATCTCATTTCTTTTCTTTTCTTTTTTTTTTTTTGCGGTACGCGGGCCTCTCACTGTTGTGGCCTCTCCCACTGCAGAGCACAGGCTCCGGATGCGCAGGCTCAGCGGCCATGGCTCACGGGCCTAGCTGCTCCGCGGCATGTGGGATCTTCCCAGACTGGGGCACGAACCCGTGTCCCCTGCATCGGCAGGTGGACTCTCAACCACTGCGCCACCAGGGAAGCCCCTCATTTCTTATTGTTAGAAGATGTTGACTGTGCAGCTAGAGCACTTAAAATTTCCCATTTGTGGTATGTCTCCATCACAGAATTTCTCATCTTTTCACTCTTCCCTTGAGGAAGAATTTCCAATGCTAATACTTCCATGAATAGTCTGGTTCCAGAACAGTTGGGATAGTTGTGATTACAGATTACTTCCTACCTGGAGTATTCCTTTATATTCCCCAGTCAACCAATAGCAGAGGCCCCAGAAAAATTATGCCCAGATTTCTACTAGAAGGGTAAAACATAAAAGTAATTAATTGTTACATTCTCCTGTCTATATCATTTTTGAAATTATGAATTTTATTCCTTTACAGATAAGGCCACTCGTTTATCTGAGCTTCTCTGACCTCCTCCTGGGGATATACTGGCTCATTGAGGCACTTCTCTATGGAACTTCAGCAGCCAATAAGGACATCGTCTGCTATAACTTGCAAGCAGTTGGACAGGTGAGTGCTACTAGATTGTCATAGTACCTTGTACGAAAGGCACACGCTTATTTAAATAAGAAGCAAAGATAATCCATCCTGGGAAGCAGGACCCTTTTGTTTATTGTTACACTTTGAAACATAGCTTTTATTGTTTTTCCCCATTAAAAAACTACTTATTTATTACAGAAAATTTGGGAAATTCAGAGAAGCAGAAAGATAATTAAAATCACCCAGATATAATCATTCTTTAATATTTTATGTATATTATATATTTCCAGTCTTCTTCTCTTTAGGTATATGCATTTTAGAACAAATAACACATTAATACTTTTGGTAATCTGCTTTTATTATTCAACATAGTGTGACCATATTTCCATGTAATGGAATATATTTCTACATCTTTTGAGATTATTGCATGTTTTTTATTACATTAATAAACATTAACTTTTGGAAATACTACATATGATTATATATGAGTTATATATCTTTCATAGATTTTATCAGTGGATTCACCCACATAGTACCATCAGTATATAATGTTTCTGAGACTTAGGATGTGAAAAAAGTAGAGGTTAATATGCAGTCTGTACTCACTGCTGGATGCTTCCTCTGGGATTTGTTACTAGAGGAGAAATTTGTTTCAATGTAGTAGGAAAATACTAATATGTAGTTAGTGGTATGAAATCCATGTACTAATATGTTACCTATCTTATATAAATTTATTTATTTTTTTAAACACGTGTGTGGGTTTTGTTTTTTAATTAATTAATTAATTTATTTTTGGCTGTGTTGGGTCTTTGCTTCTGTGCGTGGGTTTTCTCTAGTTGCAACGAGCGGGGGCCACTCTTCATTGTGGTGTGCGGGCCTCTCACTGTCATGGCCTTTCTTGTTGCGGAGCACAAGCTCCAGACGCGCAGGCTCAGTAGTTGTGGCTCACGGGCCTAGTTGCTCCGTGGCATGTGGGATCTTCCCAGACCAGGGCTCAAACCCGTTTCTCCTGCATTGGCAGGCAGATTCTCAACCAGTGCGCCACCAGGGAAGCCCCCGTGTGTGGGTTTTCTAAAATTATTTATTTATTTATTTTGGCATTGGGTCTTCGTTGCTGCGCGCAAGATTTCTCTAGCTGTGTCGAGTGGGGGCTACTCTTCGTTGCGGTGTGCAGGCTTCTCATTACTATGGCTTCTCTTGTTGCGGAGACAGGCTCTAGGCGCACGGGCTTCAGTAGTTGTGGTATGCAGGCTCAGTAGTTGTGGCACACGGGCTTAGTTGCTCCGTGGCATGTGGGATCTTCCCGGACCAGGGCTCAAACCCGTGTCCCCTGCATTGGCAGGCAGATTCTTTTTTTTTTTTTTTCGCGGTACGCGGGCCTCTCACTGTTGTGGCCTCTCCTGTTGCAGAGCACAGGCTCTGGATGTGCAGGCTCAGTGGCCATGGCTCACGGGCCCAGCCGCTCTGTGGCATGTGGGATCTTCCCAGACCAGGGCACGAACCTGTGTCCCCTGCATCAGCAGGCGGACTCTCAACCACTGCGCCACCAGGGAAACCCTATAAAGTGTATTTTTTAACCACCTATGTGATGTTTATTAGGCCAGGATTCATTGTGTTATTATTGTAATATCAAGTGTTTTTTAAATCACAGGTGCTTGGTACAGATGTCATAAATAAAGCTCAGGGACTGAGATTATGCTAAAAAACTTCAGCCTTTTGATATTCAGGGTTAACTGGGCAGATTCAGGAGAATATACTATATAAATAATTCTTAATGAATGTCTAAATTATTCTTTAGAAAAGAAAAAAATGTCCAGTTTCTTCCAGATTGAAGTAAAACTTTTAATATTCCCCGTTGCATTTCCTCCTGATTAATTCTGCCAGTTTGGAGGGAAAAAAAATACTATTGTATGTGGCTTTTTTCTTTTTTGTTGTTTTTGTCCAATGTTCTCTCTTTTTTAAAAATTGAAGTATAGTTGATTGACAGTGTTGTGTTAATTTCTGCTGTACAGCAAAGTGATTCAGTTATACATGTATATACCTATTCTTTTTCATATTCTTTTCCATTATGGTTTATTACAGGATATTGAATATACTTCCCTGTGCTATATAGTAGGACCTTGTTGTTTATCTATTTTATATACAGTAGTTTGTATCTTCTATTCCCAAACTCCTAATTTATCCCTCCCCCACCCCCTTTCCCCTTTGGTAGCCATAAGTTTGTTTTCTATGTGTGTGAGTCTATTTCTCTTTCATAAATAAGTTCATTTGTGTCATTTTAGATTCCACACAAATTTGGTATCATATGGTATTTGTTTTTCTTCTTCTGACTTACTTCATTTAGTAAGATAATCTCTACGTCTATCCACGTTGCTGCCAATGGCATTATTTTATTCTTTTTTATGACTGAGTAGTATTCCATTGTGTATATATACCACATCTTCTTTATCCATTCATCTGTCAATGGATATTTAGGTTGCTTCCATGTCTTGGCTATTGTAAATAGTGTTGCTGTGAACATTTGGGTGCATGTATATATATATTTTTTTTTTTTTTTTTTTTTGCGGTACGTGGGCCTCTCACTGTCGTGGCCTCTCCTGTTGTGGAGCACAGGCTCCAGACGTGCAGGCTTAGCGCCCATGGCTCACGGGCCCAGCCACTCTGTGGCATGTGGGATCTTCCTGGACCGGGGCACGAACTTGTGTCCCCTGCATTGGCAGGCAGACTCTCAACCACTGTGCCACCAGGGAAGCCCTGCATGTATATTTTTAAATTAGAGTTTTGTCCAGATATATGCCCAGGAGTGGGATTGCTGGATGATATGGCAACTCTGTTTTTAGTTTTTTAAGGAACCACCATACTGTTTTCCATAGTGGCTGCACCAGTGTATATTCCCACCAACAGTGTAGGAGGGTTCACTTTTCTCCATACCCTCTCCAGTATTTGTTATTTGTTGGCTTTTTAATGATGGCCATTCTGATCTGTGTGAGGTGGTACCTCATTGTAGTATTGATTTGCTTTTCTCTAATAATTAGCAGTGTTGAGCACATTTCCATGTGCCTGTTGGCCATCTGTGTGTCTTCTTTGGAGAAATGTCTATTTAGGTCTTCTGCCCATTTTTTGAATGAGTTATTTGGTATTTTGCTTTTGAGTTCTATGAGCTGTTTGTATATTTTGGATTAATCCCTTGTCAGTCGCATCATTTGCAAATATTTTCTCCCATTCTGTGGGTTGTATTTTCATTATGTTTATGGTTTCCTTTGCTGTGCAAAAGGTTTTCAGTTTGATTAGGTCCCATTTGTTTATTTTTTTGTTTTTATTTTTTTTGCCTTGGGAGACTGACCTAAGAAAACATTGTTACGATTTATGTCAGAGAATGTTTTGCCTATGTTCTCTTCTAGGAGTTTTAAAGTGTCATATCTGATATTTCAGTCTTTAAGACATTTTGAGTTTATTTTTGTGTAGGGGGTAAGGGAGTGTTCTGACTTCACTGATTTACATGTGGGCTGTCTAGCTTTCCCAACACCACGGGCTGAATTATACACTGCATTGTATATTCTTGCCTCCTTTGTTGAAGATTAATTGACTGTAGGTGTGTTGGTTTATTTCTGGGCTCTCTATTCTGTTCCATTGATCCATACATCTGTTTTTGTGCCACTACCACACTGTTTGTTTGCTATAGCTTTGTAGTATTTTCTGAAGTCTGGAAGGGTTATGCCTCCAGCTTTGTTCTTTTTCCTCAGGATTCCTTTGGCAATTCTGGGTCTCCTGTGGTTCTATAGAAATTTTAGGATTATTTGTTGTAGTTCTGTAAAAAATGTCATGGGTAATTTGATAGGGATTGCATTAAATCTGTAGATTGCTTTGGGTAGTATGGCCATTTGAACAATATTAGTTCTTCCAATCGAAGCACATGGGATATCTTTCTATTTCTGTGAATCATCTTCAATTTCCTTTATCAGTGTTTTATAATTCTCAGTATATAGGTCTTTCACCTCCTTGGTCAGGTTTATTCCTAAGTATTTTATTATTTTTTTTGATGTGACTTTAAACGGGATTGTTTTCTTACTTTCTCTTTCTGATACGTCATTGTTTTTTTTTAAAACAGATGAACACTTTATTTACTTATTTATTTATTTATTTATGTCCACGTGTTGCTTCTGGCATCTTAGTTCCCCAACCAGGGATTGAACACAGGCCCTCAGCAGTGAAAGTGCAGAGTCCTAACCACTGGACTGCCAGGGAATTCCCGATACTTCATTGTTAGTGTAAAGAAATGCAACAGATTTCTGTATGTTAATCTTGTATCCTATACCAAGAGTTGCTTCTTCCTAGTCCTGAAAGTGGATTCAGTTTATCTCTCCACTTGGCAAGGTTTCAGAACCTCATTTTTGATACTTTCCTATGGAGAAATATGTTTGATAAGGCAGAAACTTCCCTTGACAAGATAGGTTGACTGTGCTGATCTGTCGAGGCATTAGTGCCTCCTCCCAAAATTGGTCAGAAATTGCCTAGATGTTCTGTTCCAGATGTTTGGCTAGTTATAGGAAAGCCAGAGCTGGTCAGAGAGAATTAACTCAATACAGCCACAGCACCCTTATGCCACTTCACTGAACTGGAACAGAAGAAATCAATCATTTACCAAAAGCTAACAGGCCCAGGAGAGCCGATGAGAAGATAAAAATATGCTCCAGCTGTACAATCCATTAGAAAAGAAATAGTAGAAAGTACACTGAATCAGAGATTAGGAAATCTTGGTCAATATCAAACCAGAACTGCATTGTATATAGTTCAACACCTCTTTTTTTTTTTTTTTTTTTGCCGTGCCACACGGCTTGCGGGATCTCAGTTCCCTGACCAGGGATTGAATCCGGGCCACAGCAGTGAAAGCCAGGAATCCTAACCACTAGGACACCAGAGAACTCCCTCAACACCTCTTTTAAGAGTTAAGGTTCTAACTACCCAGTGAGACCTCTCTTGTCTCTGAAGTCTCTTTTTAAACTGAATAGCACTGAAGCCTGAAACTTTCC